CATACCAGTTGTCAGGTCTCCTGAGCTCACACAAGGTTCCAACACAGTAAAAATACCAACTTTCCCTCTAATTTAGGGATCAACCAGAGAGTGTGTGTAAGGTACCGGTTTTCACTGCTTCTATATGCGGTTATATATCATGCTATGGGTTTTCTAAGTTTAAGGGGTAGGGGGTGAGGTACAGGAGTAAACTGGTGCAGAAAGATTTACACGGATACCTCACTCTCAGCAAACAGAATACCTGAAAACCAGAGTGGCGTAGAGGTACATTCACAAAAGAATTCATTTCCCTCCCACTTTGAGTAATTGGTTTCTCCTCCACATTTAAAATACAATTGACTCATCACAACTTGTCTTACACACAACATATCAAGCACATAAGAGCTGCCTAAGGGGAGGTGTCTGTGGAACTGAGGAAGCAGCATTTGGACACCACTGCAAAGGACACACAAGCCTTCTCTGATCTTAGAGGTGTTCGCTCACAATACAAGCTGGAAAAAAACTTCAAATTGATTGCAAATCGTAAACAATCTTTGCGCACAAGGTTTAATAGTTTGGGAATTTTTTTTAAAAGTTTTTCTCCTAGTTCCTTCTTTGGGTTTCTCACATTCAGTTATCTCAGCAAGGCCATCAAAGAACCCGTTTTAAAATCACAGTGGCAGGTGTTTGAAACATACCTCCACATCCCCCGTAAACATTTAGCACCGGTGCACACAGAGGTATACACATGAGCTACGTAGGACACCCACAAAAATAGTCAATACAATTAGAGCTGTGCTCCAATCATCAATTTTCCATCATGCCACCTGGGGGAGGGCATTCATTCCAGAGCACTAGCCCCTGTATTTGAAAATGCCAACCTTATCACGTCCTATCAGCTTCTGAAACCCTAACCTGTTGGCTGCATGAGAGACAGAGTTTGCAACTGCCTTTGCCAAGCACATTTCTCTGTGGATACAGGCTAACAACATTGACCTCCCATTACAAGGGAACTTTAGCAAAACTGCTGGGGAAGCTCCCTATCCGTGGAGAGCCTTAGGAACAGAGTCTGCCTCTTATTCCTGAGTGGGAACTCCTAGCAGCGGAGAGGAAGCTGAATTAGAATTCTAAGTATTTCTGATTCAATGAAATGCTCTTCACATCCAAATAACACTGGAAAGTTGAGGTGGGAGACACAAGTTCCTGAATCTCCAGGAAAAAGAGAAAAACGAGAAATGCTGGTGACGCATATTTAAAACTGGAAGGCACCAGAGGCTGCACCCCCTTGGCCCCCGAAGCAGGCCTGCAGGGGTACGCAAGGTGACAGGCAGGAACACACGCCTTGGCCAAGCTTGGGTATCGCCTTCAGGCTTTCAAGGCAAAGGAGAGAAGAAATAGATGGAAAGAAGCAAAGGGAAGTGTCCAAGAGATGCGTAGGGAAGGGATGAAGAAAAGAGAGTTAAATGAAGAGAAAAGGGAGTTTTGTGAAGAAAGGAGAGGAGACTGGTGATGGGTGGAAGGTGTGGGGGCGGGGAGGAAAGAGGAACTAGAGAAGAAAATGGTGAGATAAGACAAAGTGCCCCCATCAACAACTGGCTGTCAGTAAAAACCCGAGTACAGGTGGCCGCCCTCCACCTTGAACCAGGCACCACCCAACACGGCAGCTCCATAGCAAAGCCATCGCCCTGTGTGGGCACTTTCTCCCCTTTCCACGAAGGGCAAGCTCACCTATCCAAGGCCACGGCTGTCATGGAGTAGATGCTGGCAAAGACTGAGGCGATGGGGAAGAAGTTGTGGAACTTGCAGTAGAACAGCCCGTAGTACCACTCGTTGTGGACAGCGTAGGTGAAGTTCACGACTGTGTTGAACGCCGCCATGGAGGCCTCGGCGAAGGCCAAGTTCACCAGGAAGTAGTTGGTGACTGTCCTCATTCTCTTGTGGGCCAAGATGATCCACATCACCACCACGTTGCCCACCACAGAGGTCACCACGATGGCCGTGTAGGCAGCTGCCCAAAGGACAATTTGCCAGGTTGGCTGCACGAACTGGTTGGGCTCCGAGGTGTTGGTGGAGATGTTTGGGAAGAGATCTGAGTCAACCGGGAGGACGTTATCCATCCCTTGGCTGAGTGGTAAGCTGTCCTCTCCGTACACGCACCCACTTGGCAGCAAGGTCCTGAGGCCAGCGCCAGGGGACAGGGTCCTGGTGAACCCAGCCGGGAAAGCTGCAGACTCTTTCCTTGCAGGCAGGACACTTGGCGCTCGGAAGAGGAATGCTTCTGTGAGCTGTCTGGCTGCCCCTGCTGGCACCCAATGCCTCCACTTTCAAGCTTCAGGAAGCATCTGAGTTCGGAAAGCTGGAGACAGCGTACCTTCTGCGTTGGGCTGGAATTGGAAAAGCAATTCTGTGGGTCACGGTTCCAGGAAGCTGGAGACCCCTCCTTCCTGCACCTGCTGCTGCTGCTGCTTACAACTCGTATTCCCCCTGCCTGCAGCGGGGAAGGCAGCGCTCTGTGCTTCGTGAGGACTTGGGGCTTAGAGGGTGCCCCTCACAGTGCGACCCATAAAAGTTCTGAGTCTGTGGCCGGCATTCTGGAGCTCCGAGTGCAGCTGGACATTTTCCCTGTGCTTTCGCTGCCGCCGCCGCCGCCTCCACCACCACCACCACCTCCTGCAGCTTCGCAGGCTCTTCTTGGCTCGGGTCCTGCTGGGCTAGGGAGTTAGCAGAACCTCGGCAGGCTGCGCGAGGTTTTTATAGCCCGCTGCAGAGACGTCACCGGGAAGGGGCAGGACCTGGGCTGCGGACTCGCCAGTCCCCGTGCGCAGCGCGGCAGCTGCACCAGCTGTTGGCAACTGCCTCTCTCTGGCGTC